AATGCCTTTTTGCTTTTTTTGCCTTTTGTACTTATAAATGCCTTTTTTGTGTTTAATTTTCAGTTGATTTTATAATTTTATACTCAGCTTACCGGCGATTGTAAACACAAAATCACACATGTAAACTGCCCCCGAGTTTTTATCAAGAGTAAAAAGGTGACATGTAAACTGCGCCCGGGTAAAATTACAGGTAAAATACTTAATTCGTTACAGCCATATAATTTGAATAATTAAAAATAAAATATAATTTTAAAAATTAAAATAATTATAAATATTACAAATAATTACATATGGTGGATACAACTGTAGATACATAAAAATTTCACTGAATGTTTAAATTAGCATTTTCTATACACCATACAATTTTGAAAATATTTTGACTCTTTTTGAGCTGTTTATGGACATTTACAGCTTTCAATCTTTTTTAGTTTTTTTTCTATAAATATCAATAAAGTTTTATCTGTTGGGCCAAAAAGTGTAAAAATTTAATACAAGGCTCCTGATATATTGTTACAATAGCAGTTGAAAAATATTAAAAATACATAGGCACAGTCTTTTTTATAAGCATTTAAAGATCAAATTTTGAAAAAATTTATCAAAATATCGAAAATTATCAATCATTGTAATTAATAAATTATAAAATGTTCAGTTTTTATACCTAAGGATTACAAATTCAACACAAAGGTTCTCATAAATAGTTCATACTATAACTAAAAAATCTAAAAAATATATGAACACACTTATTTTTTACAGACATTTTAAATTCAAATTTGGACGAAATTACATATTAAAAAACCTAGAATAACTATTTTAGTTATTTTGTTGTGATTGAATAATATTATTCGTGGGTACTTGAAACTTCTAAAGTGTACTATTATATATCTATGATAGTATCACGGTTTTTGTTGATGTATAACGCGTTATAAGTATCTAATGGATATTGTGATATGATTAATTTGGAATTTATTATAGGTACCTATTATAGGTCAATTTTTCGTTTAATACCACAAATATGTATATAATATGTCTGATACATAGACTGACATACCGTCACCGCTCAGAATCGTTTTTCTTATACAATGATATTATATCATTGAATTCAAATTTAATACCATCCATTATACAGTGACCCACTTGTAACCTACTGTACAGCAAAGCGACACCCACTTGCCCACCTTTTTTTTTTTGGTTTTAGACAGGTAAAATACTTAATACGTTACAGCCATATAATTTGTATAATTAAAAATAAAATATAATTTTAAAAATTAAAATAATTATAAATATTATAAATAATTACATATGGTGGATACATATTCATCAATTTGAATTTGACTACCTACTATTATATTTATTAATTAAATTTTCTAACTTTTCGCTTTTTTTTTTTTTTGGTTTTAGAGTTTTTGAATTTAAACGGTCCATTTATACTATTTAGTTTAATGTATACTTCTATTTGAATTTCTTTTAACTTTTCTATGAACATGAAAATATTTGGATGAGTTGTATAAAAGCTGGAATTAAAGTGAGAATGAAAAGACTCGCATGCATTTGTGGTTAAAGTTGGCTTTGCTAATGTTTGAGCCCATACTTCAGGTGGATACTGAGCTTCTTCACTTATATATACGTCTACCAAATAATCCACAAATCGTATTACCCTTTCGTCGTCAGGCTTTGATTTCATTAAATAATTTACAAAATACTCAGATAACTTCCTGGACTTAGAAATGGTAAACCGTAACAATGCACTAACCACCTTCTAATATCACTATTTTTATCATTATAGTCATTACTTAAACCATTTTGTTGGATACTTCTATTCCAAGACTGTGCTAAATGAAAGCGACATCCGTGTATCTTTATCTGAGGCCAAACAGTATTACATGCTAAATGAATAGCTTTTTCGAAATCTATTACAACATCAGATGGTGATATAATAATATTATTTTGGAAACTATATTCACAAATAGATTTTAAGAAATTAGTATATGATATTGTACTTTTATCGGAGAGTAAACATATGGCGAGTGGTATGTAACAGCCGTTGATAAAACCTTGTATTGTAAACATTTGTGTGAAGTATTTAGGGCAGTATGAAAATGTACCATCCATGTACAACCATTTTGATAGTGCAAGAGCTTTTAAATTAGAAATGCAACTGAAAACAATATATTTCAAGTTTCAACTCCTTGTTGTTTATTAATAAAAATAATTCATCTCTATTTGTTTGAACACCGCGTTCATCAAGAAGTAATTGCATTTCTTCAATTAATTTAGGAAATGGAGGCAATATCTTTCTTCTAGCATTATATATGTTTCTTTTAATATTACGTACATCACTTACTTGTAACTGTTCCGTTGGTATATTTTTAATATCATTACAAAATATTTTACTAGGTTTAGTGCATATATCTTCAGTCGCCTTGCGTTTTACGATACCAGTCACGAATTGTTTTTAAAGGTTTTGATCACTTAATGATTCGTGGTTATGGTTTAAACTTTGTTCAGTGATTCTGTCATCACCTACCGTTTTTAAAAATGCTCTACAAGTTTTGACCGTACATCGCCACTTAACCTCACCCGAACTTAGAGGCCGATTAATTTTACGAAACTTAAAATTAGAAATAATTTTCAAACATTTTTCACACTGCGACATGAATTGATCGGTCATCGTGACTTAACTGATTAAAATGAATACGATAGGTACTAGCAGAACTATGCCGGAAGTAGTGATAACCATCAATTGTCGTATTACTGCAATATAGATATTCGATAACGTGATGGTATTTCTTGACGAAAATAAAATGTCTGTGATATACTTGAAAAAGTACACAATCGTCAAACATAGAGACTTTGATAAGTGAAAATTTAATAAGTTAATTAGTCGGGCGCAGTTTACATTATATCTTTTTAACATAGATAACATTTCGGGCGCAGTTTACACTATACCTTTTCAACTAAGATAAAAATTCGGGCGCAGTTTACGTATGCCCCAGCTTACGTATTATCGCTACAAAACTACTTAAAATGCCATCGATACAAAGTAATATGGTGTACCTATATTGTATCTAATTTTGGATTTTTACCGGACACAATTACAAAACTAGAATCAAGAGGTAACAAATTTTATTTTTATGTGTTTTACATGTTTTATATATTAAAATATACTGTGTATGTTATAGGTGTATTATTATCGAAAAATGATATCAATGTTCGTGATTTATAAAAATGTTATTTATTTTATTTTATTTAAAAAATTATATTTTTAGGTACATGTAATTAATTCTGAATTAAATATAATGTGGTAGTTGACTTGAACAATATTCGTGATTTATAAAAATTTAAAACAGTAAAAAAAAAATTATATTTTTAATTGTATGTAATTCATAGCCAATGAATTCAAATCAGGATGAATAATGCATGTCGGCAAATTGGGTGTCGGACAATTGATTTGACGGCCAATCGGTACGTCACGAAATGAATATACGAGTAGGATGGGGAGTTGTTTAGAGAGTAGGTACTTTAAATTTGTGTATATACCTAGGCATACACGTGGCATACACGATATATTTTAATGGAAAGTAATTTGAATAATGGCCCCCAAAAAATAAGACTCGAGCGAAACTTTATTTTGATATAACAATACTACAATACAAAACTATACAATAAGTAATATAGGTACCTACTCTTATTACAGATTTGGGAACGATTCTGGTTCAGCAAATTTTCGATTTTTTATTTTTTTTTTTCAAAATGTGTATTTAAGGGTGCTATTTAAGAATGTAAAAAAAACCCAGACAAATTCGTTTTGAAGTTATTGATGAAAAACTTCAAAACCTAAATTTTTTTCGTGTGACGCGCATTTTTTAAAAAAAAATACTTAGAACTGAATATCGCTCGAACAAAAAATCGAAAAAACACCGAAGACGAGTTCCTCCACGCAGCATTAAAGTAGCGTTGCGCATGTGCGTATAAACGTAAAATCGCAAACTTTTTATGACTATAACTTCCAAAATAATGGTTTCCCAGAAAAAATTCAAACAGTTACGAAATCAGCTTTAAAAACCACACATTTTCAAAACAAAATTTAAAAAACTACATAAGCGTATAATCACCGCATTGGTACATTATATAGTATAGCTATAATCTACCGATATTAAATACGGTTTTCTATAACTATAATCTAAAAATAAATCTCAATATTCACTATGATACGGCCAATACGGCCGATACGGGAACAAAAATAAATAATCTTATAGCTGAATGATTATGGTATTTTTCTTGTAGAGTGGTCAAAAATATTAAATTAGTCAACTTGCATTTTTATTAAAATTATAATCAATCTTCATCACACAAGGTTCAGTACTTGATAAATGATCCTGGGTCCCCCATACTTCAACACAGGATAGGGCCTACAGGGAAAATCCCGAATTCCCGGTGGGTCTACACGCCACTGATACACGGACTAAGGACACGAACAGTATCGTGCATTTGGACCCAATATTGTAATTACTAAGGCCCTGGAGACTAGAAAAAGGTAGGTAGGTAAGATAATTAAGTAGTGTTTCTGGTTTCACATAATACAGTTGAAGATATACTTAGATGTACTTATAGTTAATTTTCCCTTTAAACCATTAAATATTAAAATATGTAATATAGGTACGATTGGTAATAGTCAATAGTCAATATATAATATTGAATTACTATACAGTATTCTGTTGTTTATGTATATAATATAATATACTTTGTTCTATAATATGTTATTTCTATTTTCTCAAACATTAATATTTTTTATATTATATTTAAAATTGTAACAATTGACCTTATAATAAATAAAAATATTTTAGATTACATATTTTATAGTACATAGGTGTAACGATATCGTATTGTTAATAAATTAATATACCTTAGTACCTATACACTTGCAGCCAACATGATAATAATATATTGTTAGAATACCGACGATGGATTTTTGATTTTCACGCAATTATTTTAAATATTCATTAACTGTGAATCGACTTCAACGCCTCGTCGATCAATTTATTGAAGTCGTCGACGTCGACACCCTTGATTCGCTTGTAGACCTTGGTGTTGTAATTCAAGCGGTTCGTCCGGTTCGCGACAAGCAGCACGTACGCTTCGACGGTCATATCGAAGTTGTGCATCACCTTTTCTTCCGTCGCGAACATGCCGAACACCAGCTTCGAGATTTTCCGGCTGATCCTGTACACCAGGTAGAGCGTCAACGGACCCTTGGCCGGGCCGCTTGACGGCAACACCGCTTTGACGCGGTCTTCGTACTCGTTCACGCTGCTTGTAGCAACAAAGTGCGCAGTCTTTCGGTGCGCGTGTTCCAAGAACAACCGAACGAGGTTGTCGACTTTCTACAACAACGGTTAAACGGGATAAGAAGACTGTACGACCAAAGGTGGGCAAGTCAATGAAAATAATTAACTGTGGCAAGTTGAGTCGATTCAATTAAATCGCATTCAGTTAAAAGGGAAAAGTTAACTAAAATACATTTAAATAGATACCTAAGTTTAAAGTTAAGACAGAAAATAAAATTGTTTTTCAAGTAACAATATTTTTAAGTCATAAAATGCCCTACAATTTCGATTTACACAAACTTTTACCAACAAGTTTCACACTTTGTAAAAAATTAGATTATTACAATATATAATTAAAATATGAATTACCACAGTCAAAAAAGAGTCAATGAATCAGTACTGTCTAGCTGGTTCCGCATGACACGAAAAGAAAACTAACTGCACGGTAATGATAATTAACTATAAAAAGTTAAGTTACAACAATACACATTTTTACTGAATAAGTTAATAAGTTAAAAACAATAATTACTAACTAGTTAAGTTAATGCCCACCTTTGTATACGACCAGCGGGAGATGTGTGACGGCAATAAAACCGCAACAAAATGAAACTTTTTTTTCAAAAATATAGCCATCATATGGTTTGTACTTTGTTTACGAAGTTTTTTATATAACACATTTAGTTGGAGAGATAAATTTGTACATATTTTCTCATACCAAGACAAATATTTATGTTTTTTCATATTAGGCACAACATTTTATTACAAACGCGAAATTTCATTGTTTCATTTATTCGTAACAGGGCAAAAATTAATCATATTGTTAAGGTAAAAAATTCAATATTTTATTAATTATGGTTTCCGATTATAATTTTACTCCAATTAGGTGGGTACCTACAATCTACATATTATACAAAATATTTTGTAATACATGTACAATATAAATATTATATTATACTAATAAAGCAGCAGTTTTACAGATTTGTCGAATTATGCCTTTTATAACTTCATAGTAATGTATGTTCTAAAATTCTCAAAACATATATTATAGGTACAGTAATACTCGCTAAGACACTGAAGACGCTGTTTTCGCCGGTCCCTAGACATTTCCTATTAATACTATAATATATTTCATGTAAAATCCACCTGTTGAGGTGCTTGGTTTTTCTTCATCTAATCGGATAAGATGATCTTTTGATCAACAAATGACTATAAATCAGGTTCTATAGAAATTTAAAACTCAACCGAGGTTTACTGTAATAGGTATACTGGTATATAATATATGTAAAATGCAATGAAAACAAAGGTCCACTCCTGTCGGCATTTATATGTCATACTTTGGCCATTAGCTATTATTATTATTTTACTTTATGCCATTAATTGGCAATATGTAAATCAGCCTATCAGCATTTTATTATCATTTATGGTTATTACGTAACTTCGTTTTTGTACGGCTATCTTGCAGATAGTCATATGTTATTTTTTTTTCTTAACTGTATACCGTTTTTTATTAGTTTTCGTCTCCAAGTGTCATGTAGATTGGTTTTTTATAGTTAATTCTTTTTTTTTTATTATATAGAACATTTTTTTTGGTTTGTTCTTGCTCGTAGCACGGGATGGCAAGGCAATGTTTAAACGTAGTACCGTTATTCATTATTTTTGTAATTTATTGTAGTGTTTTGTTCCGATAATTATAACGTGTGATACATTATATTCAATTATACAGTCCACTTAAGAGGACGCCACACCTGTATGTGTTGTCTCCGTCTTATAAATGTACAACATTGCAAAAACTGTTTTGCCCGGAACAACTGTTCTCGAACAGTATTTGTTGTAGAACTACCAAATTTTCACAACACGTAAAGAAGAACTTTATCTGTGCAATAGAGTGATCTTTTTTTTAATATTACAATTCAATCATTTTTTATAAGCAAATGAAAAAACCAAATGTTTAAAAGCAATTAATTTTATTGTATTTATACGTTATCTAAAATTTGGGCACGATATTGCAAAGATAAGTTCGTCTCTACGTATTGTGAAAATTTGGTAGTTCTACAACAAATATGGTGTGAGAACAGTTGTTCCGGGCAAAACAGTTTTTGCTATGTTGTACATTTGTAAGAAGGAGACAACACATGCGGGTGTGGCGTCTTCTTAATTCCTACTTTGTTAGTCGATTACGAAAAGTGTCGATTTGCTAACGCTGCAACGACCTGAGTAGTTACAACTCCTATTAATGGATTCAATGCAAACTTAAAATCATCTTTTAAAAAATATGGTCCTTAACTGTCGAGATGTTTTGGTAACCGTCGACATAGCTAAAAATATTATGGTTACCTCATTAAGTTCCGCTCGCCCCTTTATTTCGAACCTTATCGAGGACAATTTCGCATGTGGATAGTATCGAAACAGAAATTTCTTCAACTTATCTTCAGCTGTTTCTGAAATCTGAGCCATGTAACGCGGCTCGTCATCCACGGGCTTGTCGAACCGTCCGTAGACCTCGTCATTGCGGATCATTTCGAAAATGAAAGTTGTCGCTTCTCCCATGTTCTTAGATTTGATCAGTTTGGTTGGAACTACATTTTTCTCGTTCACGTGTTGAAGCCTGTCTGTGGTTTTTCGTATGTCCAAAAATATTTTCTCTGTAAAAATAAATCACAATCGTATAAAATATAAAAACCGTTTATTCATTTCAGAGTACGCGTAGGTATATGAAACAAAATACCATACATATAATATTATGTACGAAAATTGGACGTATAATTCCTGAGATATTTTTCACAATATAGCAGAACATTAAACACATATTATAAACACGAGGAAAATTATCTTAAGGGTCTGGACTAGTGTCCCATAGATTAAAGATATTTTTATAAAATTATACTATAATAAAGAAAATATGTCATTTCGTCAAAATTTGAACTTTAAATTACCTAAAAAAACCTAGTTTAATGTATATTATTAGGTTTTTTGGTTACAACACTAACTACTTACATGGAAGCTTGTTTTAAATTTTCAATCCTTAGCTATAAAGGTTGAACATTTATAAGTTTTCAAATACAAATTAATTTTTAAATTTTATCAAAATTCGATTTTTAAATGTCCATAAAAAAATTATGCTTATGTAGTTTTTAATATTTTTCAACTGGTATTGTAAGAACATATCAAGAGCCTTTTGTATTCAATGTTCAAGCTTAAGAACCAACAAATAACATTTTAATAACAATACGTATATTGAAAAAAAAAAATAAATTTAAAATTTAAAATGCCGGTTAACAGGTCAAAATGTATTGAAAATAATATGACGTTTAGAAAATTATAATATAAGCATTCAGTAAAAATATCATATTGTGTTTTACGGATATTCGTTTTAGAGTTATAAAAAATACCAAAATCGATTTTGTCGAAAACTAATTTTGGGTAAAAATTCCCGTTTTTTATTAATTTTTCATTTGTTTTTCAAAGGAAAACTGCTAGGACCTTCCTAATACACCTACTAGATTCTATTTACTATTGAACAGGATACTGAAGTTTGAAATCCAAGAAATTAGTTCGACAACTTATCATGTACACAGAAACACACAAAAAAAACACATCTTTATAAAATTAATACATTCATCACTCCGCTCTAAATCTAAATTAGAAGTATCAACATGGGAAAGAATAAAACAGTCAAATAATAACTCAGAAACTCTTTCAAGATCGTTTTAATTGAGGACTTTACAAATAGGGAAACAATTTTGTATGTATTATACATTTATACAAGAGGATTTGTATAAGATTAAAATCATAGGTTCATCATCTTGATAATAAAATACTGCAGAACTGATTGAATGAAATAGAACAATCATTTTAACAAGAAAATAAATACGAGGGACCATGGGTGTGCTCAAGAGGGGGGGGAATTGTTCGGATATAATTATAATAATTTATTGGAAACAAATTTAGAATAGCACCCACGTTAATTATTAAATTTTTTTTTTGGAAACCTATGTATTACGTTAATAAGAACGATGTTGCAAAAATAAATGGCCGAAAATCATCAGGTTTTAAGTTATAGCCTTATAAATTTCTGGATTTTCGGTGTATTACGCATTTGTCAACTCAATATTTTACATTTTTGTTTTACTGAACAACATTTTTTTTTGTTTTAACTTACCTATGTAGTTAAGCATCCTAAAAACGATGGGGAAGACTGAATTTGGCTGACAGACTTATTTTAAAGTATAGTTGCTACCTAATTAATATACCCATTTTAAATTTTCATATACACCCGACGTGGTCACCCCCTCACTGCGCTTTAAAATCGAAAACTTCTCTCGAATTGATATGTAAAACCACTATAGGTGGGTGCTAGCATTATTTTTGCACAACAATTTTTAAAACGTTGATTTCCAAAAAAAAAAATGAAATTTCGTTAGCACAAAACAACAAAAATCGTGAAATTCGTAAGACTATACCATAAAAACTAATGATTTTCAGAAATTAATTTTTGCACCATTATTTTTAACTGGTTGTAAATTACATAGGAGACCGAAAAACATTTAAAAATTCACTAAACTAGATAAACTAGATTTATAAAGCTAAATTTAACAAATATTTTATTGAAAAAAATGTTTAACCAACCAGAAATTCATCCATTTATTATCCATCCAAAATTCTTGGGCACGCTTCTGCTAGGGACAGTTACAGTATTTTATGGAAAGTGAAAATACAAAGCTGAACAATATTATTACGTTGAAATAATAAGAAGCGGTTTTTCCGATTAAAACCTAGCTGTATAGCCCTCCGCGTTTGGCATGCTCAACACGAATAAAAAGAAAATAATGGCGTTTTTGACATTTTCAAATACTTTTCCCAGTGAACATCAGCAGCCATCGTCCAGCCAACTTGTATGTAATATTTTAATTTAAGCGATTATACTTAATGATTACAAAATATAGTAAACGATTATTGTCCGGCATTAAACGTCATCCGTAACTGGTGCAATATAACATATTGTGCGCAGTGCTTGCAAACGTTATAATAACGTTAAATTTGACAAAAAACGATTAAAATGTTTAAACGTTATTATAACAGAAAGCGGAAAGCGAAAATTGAAAATAATTAAATAAGTACTGCAAAACAAAACAAAACATAACGATTTACAAAATATATTATTTGTCATTAAACAAAACATAACTTAAAACGTAATTTATAGAATATCATTGAACGAAAAATAATGCAAATCGAAATATTTTAATATCTATTTATTTAAAAGGTCTATTGACTATTGTTTTGTAGAAACATTTATTTCATGCAAACAATCTAAGATTATATTATATTCCGTGTCCGGCATTCCATTACCTACCGGCATTAGTTATTATTTTCAAATTTTATAGGTATTAACACTATTTTAAACAACGATAAACTCAAAACTAAACTTTTTAGTACTAAATAACTATAAACGCAAAACTTGGATAACGTTTTAATTGTAAATAACACAAAACGGAATTTATTTTTAAAATGCAAGCCACGATTGTGCGTATTATATTATAGATATGCTTACACTCGTACACTCACCGGCAACTTTCTTTTTCGTCAACTCAAATACGGCCCTCTCCGCGAGACCCATCACGAAGTAACCAACGTTGCTTCTAACGTCAGCCTCGTGTTCGGTCACACGCCTGATCAAGTTTATGTAGTCAGCAGCGGACGCGCCCGGTACCGATAGCAATTTGGCCCTAGCTACCATTTTAAACATCAATGCATCTGATAAACCGTAGTCCACGTCTAAAGCATAAAAAAACGCACATTTTATTATAATTCAAACGAAAAGTATCATTCAAACGCGAGCCCGACGACAACAATTCTAATAATATTATTATAGCATGTATGTGTTATTCTGATATCTATATACTCGGCAATAATTATTTCAAACTATAGGTATGTAGATCACGAGCTATGAGAAACAGTAGACAGTAGATTAGTAGACATACCTAGTTACAAAAAAAAACCTTCAGAGTATAATACAGTATAGATGTATTTTAGTACTGAGAGAAAACACTAAATACCTATTACCAAATTAAAAATTAACGATTTTATAAAATACAACAAATACTTAACCCCTTTCTAAAATACGGATGCTTAAATAATAAAAGTTCTTAAAAATGATTTGATTTTCATCGATTTGGCATAAACAAAAAAAAAGTGCTTTAATGTATTTGAATTTTGAATATAAACAGTAATTATAATATATGCGCCTTCCTAAGCGTTCACTGGAGCTATCAAACGACAATAATGTTTCGTTTTAAGGTACGTACCTACTCAATGCCACTAGTTGTAATAAAAATAATCAAAGGTGGGCATTAGCTTAACAACCTAGTAAATTATTTTTTTTTTACTTATTAACCCATTCAGTTAACATTATTATTGTCGTAACTTAACTTTTTATAGTTAATAATTATTATTGAAGTGTAGTTAAGTTAAATTTTCTTTTCGTGTCAACTAGAGTCTAGTTACTAGACAATAATGGTTCTTTGAATTTTTTAAGATTTTATTTATTATTTAATATTTTAATATTATTATTATTATAATATTTTGTTGATTATAAAATATTGTAATATTGATTATTTTCTAATTATATAATATAATAATCTAATTGTTTACACAGTGTTAAAATAAATGTCTTAGTAAATGTGTGTGTATAACAAAATACAAGTACAGATTATGACTTAAAAATATTGTAACTTGTTAAAATCACCGTTTTTTTAACTATAAGTTAAGTTAATTCTATTTTCTATCTTAACTTTAAACTTATCTAGTTAGCATACAAATTAATAAAAAACGGTAATTTTTACTCAAAATTGGTTTTTGACAAAATCGATTTTAGTTTTTGGCATAACTCTAAAACAAATGAAAATAGATACACGACATTTTCAGTAGTTGCTTATATTAGCATTTTCTATACACGATAATATTTTCAAAATATTTTGATTTGTTTTGAACTGTTAAGGAACATTTAGACCAGTTTAGAGTTGTATAAGTAGTAGTGATTATGTCGTTATACTGTCGTTATTAATTTATTCTGAACTATACATAACTTACATACCTATTATAGTTACTATTATTATATTCGTATTTTATAAACAACACTAATATTATTTCATCATGTTAAAATAATCAAAACTCAAATCTGTACATAATATACTCATAGACGTAGATAGCCTAAGCTAGGAACATCTTATAATAAATTAATTTAAAAAAAAAGCATTGTTCCCAGTGAGGCAGTCATCAAGGAACTAGATGAGAATATCATCGGGGGTACAAGTATACAGACATGAAATTTCTTGTTAAATTGAATTTTCAATTTTACTCAGCTTATTACGACTATTATTCAATTCTATGAACATTTTTTTCAAATTTTTGGATGTCGGCTACCTAAATATAATTTTTGTTTCTGAGCGGATCGATGAATGTATTGATTTTACAATGATATGTAATTTTTTATTATTTTTATTTTTTTATTTTTGTGTATGTCACCATCGTTTGAGACAGTAAAACTGCTTTGATTTTCTTCAACAGTATCTTGTTCGATGGGAAAGTGAATCTAGTTTGGTACAATCGGGAGGTTAAAATTCATAAAAGTTTTCAAAAGTGACGGGAAAAACAACATATAAATTAAGGAAAAACTTGATTTTATACGCAAAATCAGTTTTTGACAAAATCGATTTTAGTTTTTGGCATAACTCTAAAACAAATGATAATAAATACAAGAAATGTTCAGTAGTTGCTTATATAAGCATTTTCTATAACTCTAAAACAATTGATGTGTATTCCATATAAATGAAATTTTTACTGGTAGTTTATATTTGTATATTCTATACACGCTAAAATTTTCAAAACATTTTGATTTGTTTTGAACTGTTAAAGATATTTCCAGTTTAGAATTTTATAAGTCTTTTTTTTATGAATGTCAATTAAACTTTATTTATTGGTAAAAAAGATTGAAAATTTAATACAAAATATATATACAATATATACACATTTAATACTATATTGTTACAATAGTAGTTGAAAAAGATTAAATATCCTTAGTCAAAGTTTTTTTTTATGAGCATTTAAAGTTCACATCTTTGACAAAATAAGGAAAAATCACGAAAATTAGCAAATTATTTTGTGTTCAGAATTCATAAAATTTTTTTTTTTATCTTAGATTTGATAATGTAATAGAAGATTACTTATACAATTTTCTTAGTTTTTTTTTTTTTTTTTTTTTTTGTGATTATCAATACAATTTTATTTGTTGGTTAAAAAAGCTTGAAAATTAAATGCAAAGCTCCTGATCAAAAATGTGGGAAAGTCGATTACAAGTAGTCTTGACGACAAATTCAAATCTGTTTTCAGATTTCGTATAGCTTCATTAGATCAATTGGTATGTTTGGCAAAAAATACGTCTAAAATACTATTGCGCGCATGTGTTAGACAAAAAGAGAAAACCACGGTATCGAATCCCCTTAACAAATATTTACTGTGAGTTGTTGCAAGTTAAACATTTATATCATTTGAATCTAACTTATATCGAAATACTGTATAAAGTATAAACACTACAATAGTTTATAATTTAGTTTTAGGTTGGAAAAACATTAAGTACGCTAACGTTGTATAAACAAATTAACTTTTATTAACTTAATAAAATGTTAACAAAAAGTGTGTATCGTTATTTAACTTAACTGAGTTAACCTATAGTTAAATTAACTTTTAACTTTTTGTAATTGTTGCATATTAACTTAACTGAGTAAAAAAAAAAAAACATTAGCTTGCTCAGTGTGTAGATTACAATATTGTATAGTTTATATCGCTCTTCAGTGTACCTACTCCTGGCATTGGCTAATATACATTATGTGTGTGTGTCGTGTGTGGTTATAATATTATACAAGTTGCCTTGTGTTTGACATTTGTATTGTCAGCTAGATACTTGTTTGATTGATTCTACCGTTTAAATTAAAAAAAAATTACAAATGCTAAAGGTAACAATTATACGGGGTTGTTACCAATATTACCGTATTATTTTAGTTGCCGTAGTCTGTAGGTAGGTACATTGTCCGCAAACAAATCTTTATGTTATAAATGTGTACCCATATAATACGTGAATATAATTCTCGAACAACAGATAAAAATAATCAATATAATATTATAACTTAAAAACATTTTAAACACATCGTTAATAGGTACATAGATTACAATATACTGGAGTGCTGTCTAGCTCCATCGTATGACCCCGGCTACTCAAGGTCAGACTAGCTATTGGTCTTTGATTAGATAAACATTAAATGTTTACAATATTTTTAATGATCAAAACGTTTCTGACGACGACGTTACGACAACCGCATAAAACATACCCACCGGGATTTGAACAAATTGTTACTCGATTACGACTATTCTATTTTACAACTAATTATATCAAATGTTTTGATAAGCATAATATCTTATGTCTAATGTTAAAAATGTAAAAGTCCTACGTTTATTTGTTAATATATATTATATACGGGGTGATTCGCCAAGTATGCTCACCTCTTTTTTCTTCAATAATGCAGTCATTCAAAATCTGATTTTTGGAATTTTTAAATATAAGTAGGTAGGTACTTTAAGGCCATATTTTAGAATTCATGATATTTTTATACTACTTAAGGAGTGTCCTACGGAGATACCAATTTTCGTGTTTCAAATCAGAACACCATTTTCAACTAGGTATAAATTATGTAGGTATACAATGGATAATTTTTCTACAGTATTTTTGTTCACATTTGAAAAACAGAAGTGTGTATCACAACAGGACACTCTTTAAGTAGTACAAAAAAATTCAAGAACTTAAAATATGGTCTATGAATATATTTAAAAATTCCGAAAATCAGAAATTTAATGAATTCATTGCAAAAGAAAAAACATTTGAGTGACCATGCCTGGTGAATTACCCTGTATACATTAGATATAAATTATATGCAATAATGTAGGTACAAAGTAACCAATACACACTGTTCTTTATACATTTATACCTTACTTTTGATTTTTTTATAAATTATATTTTGTCTTAATTATTCAAATATAATACATAATACATTCAAAAATATTTACACATCAACACATTACATTACATCTAATCATAAGTCTATATATTCTTTTAATATATTTTTCATAATTTATAATCGATAATTTATATATATGGCCGCTGAACATTAATATATTATATTAATGTTCAGCTGCCGTAGTGCTTCTATGTAGCTATTATTTTTTATTTGTATTAATGTATATTTTGTTTATCAGACGAATTACTTAATTTGGTTGAATATTAATTGTATATTATGGTATGACATAATAGTATAATGATAAAATAAAAATAAAATATTTTAATAGTGTAACGTTAGGTAACAGAATGTTTTTTTTTTTATAATATATAATTTAAAATCATACGATATAATAATATAAAATCAATAGGTTCATTCATTGCTCCACTCAGAATCTAAAATGATAAGTGTATTTTTCAGGCCAAATTGTGTATTGACGGATTTTAATGATCGTGTGCCTTCGTGCCATGCCCATGAGTGTATTCTTTTTTATCTGTATACCAAAATGCAATATCAACAAACACTTATAGAAATAGGAACATTTGTCCTGAGGACTAGTGAGAGGCTTAGTCGTGCCAAACGGATTAACAGAGATATCATGAGTTTTATCATAAGAGAGAGAGAGACAGAAGTGGCACTGATGTTCCGTCTATTTCAATAAGTCCATGCTTATAGGCTATAGCCAAGCACATTCAAGAAAACGATACTAAGTAATTTTTAATTGTATCTACCTATAAAGGTTCCCACCCACTGGCCACTGCAACAGTGGCGGTAATATTATTTTGTCTTGGCGGTTTGTCCGGACTCATTTTACCGCTACCACAGCAGTGTGTGAGGACATTAACATATTAGGTATGCATAAAAATAATTATTTTATTTGCTAATGGCGTTTTATGTAGCCCCAAATTATTTTCTCACCGGGGCAACGTCGGGAGGAACAGCTAGTAGGTAACCAATACTAATACAATTTAAATTTTCATAAAAGTTTGTTGTATATAATTAAATGTTATACTTAGTTAATCATATATTGGTTCGGATTTAAATGCACTAAAATTATTAAAAAATACATTTAGTATTTTATACAAAATTGGTGCAGCAAAATATTTATAATTTTTTTATTTTAAATAGATATACGTGTAATGATTTATATAATTATGATAACTAGTAAAAAAATATATTATTTTGTAAGTTAAAAACTTCTTAAGAAAAAAAAAACAATTTGTAACATATTACCCCAGGATATAAAAACGGTAAAGAAAAACTTGAACGATATAACAAGTTTGTTTTCAATTCATTTTACTATTTTTGAAATTAGTAATTTTATTAAAATACATTTGATATTAAACCGGCTTATTAACGATAGTCTGCACATGGTCCAATCTGATTATTATACTCAATTATATTGGTGTTGGTAACAACTGCGTAATCCAAATAATATAATATTCTAAGATATGAGATAAATGTGTTTTGACATAAATTATATAGATTGCCTACCTGATAATATAATGCTGCGAATCTCACGGGATAACGCCGGTCGAGATGCATTGGGCCAAAATATTGGGGCTTGGAGGATTTGTCCCCCCAGTTTAAAAGTCAGTCATTAGTACTGAGCATATATTTAATTTTTAGAAAATAATGTAGGAGGGGCTTTAGTCCCCCCCAAAATAATTTGGCCATTTGCGCCTATGGTCCAATGTTGAATTTCCTTTTCTTACAAATACATAGTATAGTTTAGTTACCTACTAATATCACTATTTTTATATTAATTAATATAAGAAAAGACGACTAGAAGAATATGTTCTGCTGGGTACTTTATACTGATGAAATTGGATAACACAATTTTCGACCAACTAAATTAAACATTTCTGTGTTAAAAATTAAAAGTTTTTAAAACATTTGAACGCATATACCATATTTACGCCTAATCTAGCAACATTGCAATAATTCTTGCTCGCAATCGTACATAATATAATATATCTTATCAAAAATGTTTGTTCTATTGGCCAGTCGAAACGTGTAGAAAATTTCAAAGCTCGGCATTACCGAGTTAAAAGTTAAAATTAAGTTATAACTTTAAATTAATTTAAATTAAGTATTAATCAACTCGTTACTTATTTTACAAATTAACTTTTAACTTAATAAGTCACTTTTTTTCAAGATAAACGTGTTAACTTCAAGTTAATTTTATATCAAAAGTATCTAAATTAAGTTAATTTTCGTCCGAAGAATAATACGAAATTTTGAAGGAGGTTTTTACTTTGATGTATCATTTTTAATTTCCCTAGTAATTTTCTTAAACGTAAAGAAAAACGATTTAATAAACCATACTAAGTGTCTGTATTTTTTTATTTTTACAAATTAACAAATTTTAACTTTACACTAAAAAAAAAAAAACGTTAATTTGCCCAGCCTTGAATTAATATTATTACCGCAAAATTATATGTCCCACGCTCCTATACAATGAGAATTAAATAATTGAATTATTGGCCCTGAAGATTAGGTACCTGGTGTTATATAGTTCAAAATGAAAATGATTTATATTAAGTACATATACTATGTTTATATTTCAATAAAATAAATTTTTTTAGATTTTGTGTGAAGAATAAAATATATTGTGTAAAAATACTAAAATAGGAAAAATTAGTCGTAACTCGTAAGCAAAGTCGGCGGAGCCAAAATATTTTTTTTCCCCTGTGACTAAATCTTAAAATATACGGCCCTTGTCTTCGATCAGAATGTTCTTCGTGTTCAATGTTCTTACATAGTTGAATTAAAATTTAATACATTCATAACAGTAACTTTTCTAAGTACCTAATGTACAGCAAAACGTAACCTGTTTGCTGGTTGTTTTAAATTTTATTTTTGTACCATAGTTTTTTCTAAAATTTTTGTTTCTTTGAAATTTGTTTGATGACTATCAATATAGTCAGGATTCACTGAAATGTAGGCAATTTGGAACAAATCTAATCTGCGTTCGACATTTATCATTGCTCGTTGGTCATCTTCGAGACTTCGTCGAACACACATGATAATATTATATCATCTAATATACTGTTAGCAAGCAAGGCGAGTGCAGTCTAGTGGGCTCACCCCGATTATGTGTAGGTTTGAAAGAGAATAAATTAATTATACATATCAAATAACTTATGTTTTATTTTTAAATAAGCATTCCCTATTACGCATATAATTTAACTCCATAGCGACACAGCATATGAAATCATCGAGTCATTCAAACTTAGAAAGGACGAACATGAAATTGACAAGCACCTAACATCGAAATTTTGGTGTTAGATAAACTAAATAATTAATAATATACATATTATTTAATTAGTATTTCGGGAAAAAAATCCCGGTGAAAAATTTCCCACCGAAAAAATCACAAAAAAAAATCTACGATGGTTAACCTTTCGGAATTATTTACAGCCATATTGGTACCTACTCGAAATAATAGTGATTGAGATGTAGGCAATTCCAAATGACCAATTAAAATTTAATTTGTTTGAGGTCTGGTATAAGATTTGTAGATACCACGTCATCGTATGATCATAGATAAGTGGAAACCTTTTTGATGTCAAGGGCCAAAAATTAAATAGAACATTTTTCATTGACCACAATTTTATATACCTTACCCAGTACCAGATCTACAAATTATGTAACACAGGGCACAACATAATATTAGAGCCCTAAAAGTTACAATTAAAAATTGCATGGGTCTTAAAGTGTGTCAAAATACGGATTATTATAATAATATTATGCGCGTTTAAAGTTTATATTTTTACAAGATTGGATATTCATTCGATATCTCATGTAGCGATTTCCTTATTTTGTTGTAATTCAAAAACGAATAACTGTAGATATATGAAAATTTCACTGAATGTTTATATTAGCATTTCCTATACACCATACAATTTTTAAAATATTTTGACTCTTTTTGAACTGTTTACGGACAATTACAATTTTCAATTTTTTTAGTTTTTTTTTCTATAAATATCAATAAAGTTTTATCTGTTGGGCCTAAAAGTGTAAAAATTGAATACAAGGCTCCTGATCTATTGTTACAATATCAGTTGAAAAATATTTAAAATACATAAGCACAATTTTTTTTATAAGCATTTAAAGTTTGAATTTTGACAACATTTATAAAAATTTAAAATTGAATAATTATTTTGTAGTTAAAAATGTATAAAATGTTCAACTTTTTTGCTAAATATATTATAATATATTATAAATTAATTAATTTATTCACAATAATATCATCAAATATCCTTAGTCATATCATGGATATATATATATATTATATAATATTATATATAATATACTCTCTGACTGTCTTTGCCCAGAATCGTTTTTCTTATACAATCATATTAATATATCATTAAATTCAAATTTAATCCCATCCATTAATGTGACCCACTTGTATCCTACTCAGAGCCTGAACAGTAAAGCTGAGTAACACCCACATGCAAACTTTTTTTTTTAACTTTTAACTTAACTGAAGGCAGTTTCATTGAATTAACTTAACTTTAAATAGTTTTATTATAAATTATTTTCATTAACTTGCACACATTTGAAAATAAGTACCTAATAACCATTGTCCATTTGTCATCAATCATCATAACAATAATAACAACAATAATACGTTACCGTTCATCATAATTGTCTGCATCAACGACGGTGGCTTACTATCGTCCATCAAATCAAACAGGTAACGTCGAGTTTTTTCTGCCTCGTATTCTTTGGGTATGGAAAGTTCCGGTTCGCCTCCCACTGACGTCTCGGTTATGTTGGCCCGCAGACACCCTGTCATTTTGTTCCATAGCGGTGCCGTCTTACTCCAGAACGCTGCATCTTGTTCGCATTTAGTGGACTTTATCCTCAAATTCTCAATGCGCTGGATAAACGTGAGGTTCATATTCTCGGATTTCCATTTCTACAGTAAGAGTACGACAAAACGTGAAATTATAAACACAACAGCGATAAGACTAAGTTACATAAAACAATTACATTACAATGATTAATATGAAATTGATACCTATATAATACGTGCTTAGAAGTTATAATATAACTGATATTAGACAATGAGACGTAGTGTAATTCAAGGACAATTTACAAGATATATATTGATATCTGTGGAGCATGTGGAGTGCACATACTATAATAATATATAGGCAACGGAGTGTCAGACCATTCAGATACGAAAAAATGAGAATAACTCATTAAAGAAATGATATATTAATTATGGTCTACGGTTTAATTAATAATTCATTTAATTCAATGTTTAATCATTATTACCTAATTCATATTCTACAGTGATATAAAACTATTTTTTTTATGAACATTTTACACTTAAATATTTAACCTTAGAAACTTTATAGGTTCCTATACAAATGTTAAAAATATCTTATTTAGAAATGTCAGCATACGCGACAAGTGTGAAAACTAAATATTTTTGCATTTCTATAGTTTTTTTTTTAAAATAATGAATTAAAACATGTTATGTATCTATTATGTGAATATCGTGTACGGTTATTATTATTATTATACGCATCACTCACTGGATTGTAGCCACATTTGTCTGAAGACTCCGCTTCCATTTCTAAATTTTCATTACTAATTCCGTCAATCTCCCCCACATCTTCTACCGAAGATTGTTTATTTTCTACATATTTCTCTATTAATGCCTTGTTGATTTCCATCGTCCGTATTTGGCTTTCATATTTTTCATAATACTGGTTCAATTCTTTATCCTGTTTCGTAGCCAATGCAGAACGTTTAAGATTTTCTATATTTTCCACGGTTTTTCGATCTCTTTTCTTTCTTTTACTCTTTAGCTCCAATGTTCTGTAAAATGCTAAGTCTTTCAACTCGTTTATCTGAATTTTTTTTTCATCCCATTTTTCTTTATTTTTAGCAATTTTTTCAATTCGTTCATTCTCCCGTTGTTTTTTAAAATTCTGAATATGTTCATCCAGTAATTTTATATTGTACAATATGAGTCTTATTCTAGACTCATTTTTCTGTTTGATTATCGCTTTCCGCTTATCTACATTTGTTAAAAACACTTTGCCCCGTTCATATTCCATTTCATGAATTGCAGATAATTTAAATTGGTTAATTTCATGTAGAATTTAATCGATCTATAATCAAGTTTCTACAGTATATATAATGTAAATAAATGGAATATTAGATTTGATAAAAACTGAAAAATGTTTTTTTATTAATAGCTGTTGCTATATAATTGCTATACCAATACTCTACCTTACTGTTGCTATATTAAATTGCCAATAGAGCCAATATAGGTAATTAATTATTAAAACAATATAATTTCTTTTGCACCCGGAATTTTTCGTACACAAGTATCCTCATCTACCTAAACGAGAACTTGGTGATCGTGATATCGGGAGCCCGGGAATTGGGAAACAATTAACCTTTTTTCAAAAAGGCATACAGCAATTGGGCCACTAAATTAATATGGTATTCCTAAATTGCTATTACAAATTTAAATTTAGTATGTTAGTTAGAATCTGTTTATGTGGACGGCACTTTCAAAATCTGGGCAAAGCATTTTTATCAATTATTTTCTATTCATAGTTATAAAGATAATTCCTATGTTAATTTAGTATTTTGTGTACTTTAAGACAAGTTAAAATATACTTATGTAAACACATTAAAATCAATTATTCTTTACTAGTGCACTTCGTTGCCCATTTAAAAATACCAATGCTATATGAATAATAGCTGGATTACCCGTCGTTTCCGGGTTTAAGTATAAAAAATGTCTACAGCCCAACTTTAACCGGACGGCCGCGGACCAAGACAGACAATTAGTTTTAATAGGTATATAATAAAAAATAATAATAAAGATATAATAGGTAATATAATATAATAGGTATATAATAAAGAATAATAATGTATGACAACAAAATTTACAAAATTTACAAAATTTCTCTATAATAGTTTATATGATGTTTTTTTGATGTTTTTCCTATTGGTGCTAAAATAACTAAATTTGTGGGCATACTGACTCTGGAGCATGCCACATAAAATTGTCCATGTGAAAAACAATCCTCTCTTACATCGATCCCTGCAATTTTCAAGGTTTGTCCTTGTGATTTATTTATTGTCATAGCAATACATACTTTGACAGGAAACTGCATTCTCTTAAATTGGAATGGATTATCTGATGGTATCCTTGGTATGCGAGGAATAAAAACTGCTTCACCTTTTGCAGATCCAGTCATAATTTGAGCTTCTGTCAGATTTTTTTGAAGATCAGTAATACGTAGACGAGTCCTATTGCACAATTTTGGTGGACCAAGATTTCTTAGAAGCATTATAGGAGTACCAATTTTTAATGTTAATAAATGTGGTGGGAATCCAGTAGGGTTGAGTGAATTTAGAAATTCTACGGGATAATTAACTGCATTATCTATTTCCAGCACCGAATTCACCGATCTGTATTATATTTTTTTGGCTTGAAAAGAGCCCAATAATATATTGTTTATTTCTCCTGCTGTATCATTTTTTGATGTCAAAATAGCCCTCTCACATAACCAGTCCGTTGATATTTCTTTGAGGTTTTCGATGTCAGGGTATATTTTGTATGTAAGTTCTTGTAAAGTATTAACAACGGTACCTAATCCTGTCGGCAAAGTAATTTTTTCTTCACATTATGGATATTTTCCATCTCCTATTATTAAGAGTAGCTCAGAAAACTGTTCAGCAGTCTTGTTTCCTTTTAAATGTACTCGCATATTTTTGGTCAAAGATAATTTTTCTATTTTTGGTCACAAATATGAAGACTTGATGCATTCAGCGATTTCATTAGCTCGAGTTCCTCTGGGTACGATTGGTAGAGTTTGTCGAAAATCTCCAGCTAGCAGTACTTTGATTCCTTAGATCCTTCAGACAGTTGTTTAAAGCCTCAAATCATTTTTTATGAGACATTGGACTTTCATCCCAAACTATGAGCTTGCATTTTTTCAGAACATTTGAAATATTAGATTGTTTATTAATATTGCACGTTGGAATCTCGATGGTGTTCATATTGAGTGGCAACTTGAAAGCAGAATGAGCAGTTTTTCCTCCATGTAAAAGCGTAGCTGCAATTCCTGATGATGCAGCTGCAATTGCAATCCCATATGTGCTTCTTACCTTCGCCAAAAGTATATTGATTAAGTGGGTTTTACCAGTTCCGCCAGGTGCGTCTAAAAATATACATTTTCCTAAATTTAATTTGATACTATTTAAAGTTTGTTTGTATACAAACCACTGCTCCTCATTCATAGAGGGTTCATTTTGCAAAACAATTTCCAGTAAAACATTTAAATCATAGCTTGTTTCTTTTAAATATTCTCTATTTTCTAAAAGTCCACCAGATCTTGTAGGAGTTGGCAAACCATATTCTTTTAAGTTATTTCCACCTAGATTCAAAACAAAGTCTTCAATTAACACCAAACACTTATTATAAAGTTCACTGTCTGTTATATTATTTTCTAGATGTTGACTGTAATATTGTCACCGAATATCGTCTGAAAAATCGTCCTTATACTTAGTCCAAAGACTTGATGCATCTGAGGGATGGCAAAATATTAATATTACACTGAAAAGTTCTCGCACTTTATTAGGTGAACGACATAATGCTGCTTCTTCTAAAGCAAAATCCTACTGATTGTCATCTTCCAATAATCCAAGTGCTTTACATGTGGCCTGGAATGTTTGGTACTCGATATTGTTCACAGTCTTCAAAAATGAATACGATGTTGGACCTTTTACGTAATGAAGAAGAAGACGAAGATGGTAACATTCAACATTGTTTGGGTGGATTGAATAAACTCTACCCAAAGCTGAATCTTTCTTAACTCCTGCCCAACCTTCGACATTCTAGCCTTGTTTACGTCAAACGAAATTCTTATTTTTCCACACATAATACGAAGCAACTTGTGGATAAAGCAATGTTCTTGCAAAATTATCGGTTTGACATATCTGGAAAAAAGCCTGAAGTGTTGTTGTTGGTGGATTTTCTATTCTTTAGGCAACATTATTTGCCGTGAAGTAGACACGTTGTCCATTTTCTAGGTGAACATCAAGATGAGTAATAGCTGGATACCTATCGTGTATATGAAAACCTAAAATTTTCCAAGCTGCTTCGGAACTACTGATATACCTGCCACTTTCATATATTTTTATTTCATCTATATTGCCAGTTATTCCTAAACCAAACGCTGCGTGATTACTACCTTTTGTGACATATTTGCATACATATTTTATAGACTTGATTGAACTGGTTATTTCTACATTTATATGAGCACTAAAAGTACGCAATAACACAGGGTTATATGGAACAACCTACCTGTTATCTAAGTTAATTGACTTAATACTCACTTTGAAACCTCCATCGTTTGTTGATCGTCTTCTATATTTTGGATAGCCATCTTCACCTCTTTGAGTTTCTTGAATGAGCGTAACTGGATAAAGTTTGCTGCAGACACCTTCTTTCATGCACGGAGAATTTTTGTTCAAAATTCCACATGGTCCATGTATCATGTTAGCCTTTACTATCTCGTACAGTAAAGGATCTACATCTGGATTCGGAATCTCAGCACACACGAATTTATCTATCATATCTGATGAAATTCAATTCTCCAACCATAGTAGTATGTGTACGTGAGGTAGGCCTCGTTTTTGCCATTCAATGGAATATATATGGCACCTCACTTTCCCAAACAAATCTCTTTTCGTCAACAGATCTATTAACTCCTTAACTTCTCGATTAAATACTCTTGCAATGATGTCTGGGCAATGGTAATGTTTTTGTCCTCGTAAAAGTGCTTCTTGAATTTCTTGCCATTTTGGATTACACGTAAAAGTTACGAATAAATCTGAGCTGCCATATTTTCGAACGTACGTTAGTGCATCTTGTGCTCGTTCATGCATATATCGTGGGCCTCCAGTAAAAGATGATGGCAATACAACTAATTTTCCAAGTTGATCTGCGTCAACATCTTGTCTTCCAACGGCATCTTTTAAATGAATATATTTATCTGTTCTAAGCTTATTTTGATGATTTCGTATGAAATTTAATCTTTCGGTCTCTATTTTTTCGTACATATCTACTAGATATTGGTTGAACAATGGACCATAACGAAGCAAATGATTATCAAGTTCTTTCAATCTTTCCTTAAAATAATTTTGTATGAATAAAAATTAGCAGCAGATACAGTTTTATCTGTAAGAGGAAATTTTGTAGTTGCATCCTTCTGAGAAATATCTATTGAGTATCCATCTTCTCCATAACAAAACATTAAGGGTATTGAAGTGCGTCGTAGGATCTATGTAATTCACTTATCCGTTGTAATCGATTATCGTAGCTTTGAATAATAATGTCACGTTTTTCAAACTGCTGAACAACTATAACTAAAGCTACTTCATTAGTAGTTGCAGCACAGCACTGTAACAGACTTTGTGTCCATTAGCAGGTTTTCTATCAGTGTGAATAACTACTTGAAAATTAGTATTATTTTTACTTGCATTATCTATTGTGGTTTATAACTCTCGAATAAACTTATTTTCAGTATGCAGCATATTTTGTAGCTGTTTGACTAATGCTTGTTTAACTTCTGGATAAATAGAGAATCTAAGTTTAACTTCTTTTTCGTCTTTGCAAACAAAATATATTTGTAAAAATTGTGGGTTTTCCTGAGTATTTGGAATCAAACTGCCGTACAAATGGTAGACTTGGCTTTGCACTTTAAATGTTGGCATAAAACCTTCTTCAACAATCTGTTTAGCACCAAACGAAGTCATTTGAAAACAACTATTATATTTCCTAGTACAATTAATGAAGTGATCATGATCAGGATGGTCTCCATCGAGTAAACTGCGTAATGGTTCTGGGGGCAGCTGTAAGGGATCGAGTTGTGTTTTACCTATATTACAGCACATACCAGGTGTGCGGGCCGGGAGCATAAAATAATAATACGCGCGCCCGGACACCAATAAATCACCTTACACCACTAACACCTAATTCCTGGAATTATGGAGAACAAGCTGGATGTGTAATGGTGTAATAGCTTGAACAGTAGTGGTCGGGATCGCCTAGTAATTACTGTCGGCTATGTAGTGAGTGTTGTGTAATTATGTGTAATTGTGTATAAATACGTGTATGTGTGTAGGTGTGTATACAATTAAACAAATAGGTAATAAAAAATGGTAACACGGTTTCTGATAGCTGAGTTGCTGTATAATACACAATAATAATAATAATAATAATAAAACAATACAAATAGTGATATGTGAGTGTGTGTGTGTCCAGCTGTTCCCCGGTGACCGATGTCCTATATTCTTATTTTTAATTGGGTAGGTACTATGTTGCGTAATACTTTTATGTTTCGGCGGCAACATTCTCCCCCCGTTGAAAGTCTTGGGTTTCAACCGGTACGATTTCCTTATCAGTCGGTAGCCTACATAGTTTGATAACTGGACGACGCATATGCGTCCCATTTGCTGTCCTTAGTGTGGCAACGCGTGCTACACCATCAGAACCAGGATGTAATTCAGTGACCAGGCCCAACTTCCACCTGGCTGGAGGCATACAATCATCCTTTATGATCACAACATTGCCCTTTGCCAGTGATGCGCTCTTACTCGTCCACTTGCCACGAATTTGGATCTGTGGTAGATACTCTTTCGACCAACGCTTCCTAAAAGTTTGCATTAAATTCTGCACAAGTTGCCATCTACGAAGGCCCTTGGGCTTTTCCTTGGATATGTCTAGCTCATCCGGTAACAGCATAGCCCCTCCAATTAAGAAGTGAGATGTGGTTAACACAGCCAAGTCGGAAGGGTCACTATTTAGAGGAGTCATCGGTCTCGAATTGAGACAAGCCTCGATTTGGCACAGCAGAGTTCGCATTTCTGTGTTCGTGAGTTTGTGATCAGATATCACTCTCTTCAGGTGGTATTTCATACTCTTCACGGCACTCTCCCATACACCGCCAAAATGCGGAGCAGAGAGTGGGTTGAAGTGCCACTCAATACCTTCCTTTTCTAAGTCACCACTGGCTTTCTTCATCATTGCGACTAACTCCTTTTGAGTTCCAACAAAGTTTGTGCCGTTGTCACTGTATAGCTTTGCACATTTTCCTCTTCTCGCCATAAATCAACGCAATGTCGCCATAAACGACATACCTGAAAGATCGTCAGCCAATTCCAAATGGATGGCCTTTGTGGAAAAGCAAACAAATATTGCAATCCAAGCCTTCTTAGCAGCCACACGTCTCATACTTCTCCGAATATATATAGGCCCCTCAAAATCTACGCCTGTTACAGTGAAAGGTCTGGTACACTGCAATCTATCTCTTGGGAGCGCTGCCATGATTGGTTGGTTGAAACGTGGCTGTGTCTTCGTGCATTTAACACAGCACCATACCACTGACCTTGCGGTTACTCGGCCTAGCAGCGGCCAATATAGACGCCTGCCTTCCGACAACAAGAGCTGAGGTCCTCCATGAAGAAGCTCCAGATGGTATTTTTCAAATATCATCCTGGTTACTTTATGAGCAGCAGGCAGTACCACAGGATGTTTGTGTTCATCAGCTATATCTGAATTCTCGAGCCTTCCACCTACAAGTATTATACCATTACGCAGGAAAGGGTTCAAGCTCCGCAGCTTGCTATTCCTTGGTACTTCGTGCCACTTTTCTAGCGACAAGATCTCTTTGCCGAAGTACTCGGCTTCAACCATTCTTAGAATCGTTTTCCTCGCTTCGTTCAATTCTGGTATTCTTAGCAATTGAGGGCCATTAATCATCTTACGCAGGTAAATCGAATATATCGTTAACCAAGCTACTCCTCGTAAAATATGATTCCAATCTGAGTAGTGTTTTAATATACTGTTTACTGGGTTGGTCACTGCAAGTACTAGTTTCACTTCACGCACTTCAGGCAGCTCTTCATCCACATGGTTTATCGGATTTCGGATCCAATCCTTTTCGTCCCTTTCTAACCAGGCAGGTCCATTCCACCACAACCTTGTCGCTAATAGCTCCCGTGGCCTTAAACCTCTTGAAGGGATATCCGCTGGGTTTTACTGCGTGCCTATATGATTCCACTGGTTGATTTTTGTGACATCCAAGATTTGCGCTGCTCGATTGGCAACATACGTTTTTAGCCGGCTGCTTTGGCTGTTCAACCATCCTAGGACTATAGTTGAATCCGTCCATAATTTGAACTCATGAATGTTGATTTGCCATGACTCAGCAACTCGTTGAGCCAGCTCAGCTAATAATAATGCACCGTTCAACTCAAGCTGTGGAATTGTGCTTCCCTTTAACGGAGCCACTCGTGTTTTTGCACATAGGAGCCTGGAATGCCACTTTCCGTCACTGCTCTGGGAACGAAAATAGATACAGGCCCCATACGCTTCCTCGGAGGCGTCACAAAACCCATGTACATCTATGATGTCGGTACGTCCGGGCATAGCCTTTCTGGGAATGGATATTTCTCGTAGTCGCTCAAGCTCATCATAAAATTGACCTCATCGTTGCTGAATGTCTATTGGATGCCGTGCATCCCAGTCTATCTTCATGGATCACAGCTGTTGTAGGAATATTTTTCCCTTGACTAAAACCGGTGACAGAAACCCGAGTGGGTCGAATATTCTGTTCAAGTCAGAGAGTATACCTCTTTTCGACAGTGCACCTTCGGTGGATCTTGCTGCGATGTCATATTGAAAATGGTCTACGACTGGTTTCCACTGCAGCCCCAGTGACTTGACTGTGTCGTCGTCTCCTATATTTAATACAAACAAGGGATCGTCAACAGGCTTGGACATGCTTCGCAGAACCAACTCGGAATTGGAACACCATTTCCTTAACGGCAACTTTGCTGAATCTAGCACTACGCTAACATCTCTTTGTAATTGACAGCAATCATCTTCCGTATCAGCCCCCGTCATTAGATCGTCTATGTAAAAATCTTCGGTGATCACTTTTGCAGCTTTCGGGTATTCCTTCTGAACACTTTCTGCGAGTGCTATAAGACAATAGGTGGACAAGACTTAGTCAGGGGTCGTTCCATACGTGACTGTAGTAAGCTGATATGAACGGAGTGATTCTTCGGGGCTGGATCTCCAGACAATTCTTTGTAGGTCCCAGTCTTCTCTTCCCGCCTTAATTTGCCGAAACATTTTTTCTATATCGGAAGTTAAGACAAATTGATTCTTGCATAAGGGAACGAGTATTGAAAATAAATCTTGCTGGACAGTTGGACCACATCTCAATACACCAGATGTGCTCTTGGCCATGGCATCGAAAACTACTCGGACCTTTGTTGTCAAACTTGACGCCTTTTTACCGAATGGTGTGGTAGATAAAAGTGATTCTGAGTCTGAATCGAATCTTCCAACACTTCAACTATATGTCCCAATTCAATATATTCGCTCATAAAACGTATGTACTCATCCTTTAGTAGCTTATCATTCTGCAATCTTTTCTCTACATTTAAGAACCGAGCGGTCGCCATAGGTAATGTTGCGCCTATTTCACTGATTGCCGGCTTGATGGGAAGTCAGACGACGAAACGTCCCTCTTCATCACGAGTCGTGTATTGCTTAAAATGTTGGACTTTTTCCTGCTCTTCTTGATTTCTGTTGTCCACCTTCGATGTCCTTCCGTAGCTTGCATCCTCAATGCTACTGAGAACCTTATAATCTTCCTCTATCGTTTGGCCCATTGAAATTGGTGTTGGTGAATGATGGTTAGAAAGTTCTCCTGTCACAAGCCATCCGAAGTTGCTCTCATATAGGGTTACTGAGCCTATGTTAAGTGGTATTTTTCTTGTTCCCAAAACATCGAAGAACGAACCACCTCCAACAAGCAGATCAATACCTTGAGGGTGGTGGAAGTCCGGGTCAGCTAGACATGTAGACACAAACTCTGGTATACCCCATCCATCTGCCGGCTCTGGGCAAGACGCTAACTCCCCTACGATATTAGGCAGTACATAGCTAGAAATCGTAATACTGAATTCACTCGTTCTTGATTCAATTTTCAATTCACTACACGACCTTGCTCTTAAGCGATTATCTCCAATACCACTTATTGGCAATG